CAAATCCCATGTCTAGTTAATCGTCGATAATCGGTAATGCTAAAGCGTTATGGCGTATTCTGTTTCACTATCCTTTTTTTCGTAATACTCTCTTCGTTTCACGTTTATTTACAATCTTGGCTACTACATCTGTCGCTCCCATCGTCGCATTTCCGTCGTAATTGTAGTGCGGGAGCCACTGCGTGCGATTTGGCATGCGATTTGATTTATGTTCGTAAAAAAACGATAAAAAGTGTATGTGAAGTACAGAGTACAAGTATAATCTGCGTACGCACGAACGTAGGTCGGTTGAGATGTACAAGAAATCCGCCCGTGCTTTTCCCTTGACTCAGCAAATTCATAGGACATACAATGGCACGCGGTATTGAATACTGATCCAATTTTGAATATCACGTGGGTCGAGTTTGTCTTCTCCGCACGTAATACCGGTTTTTGTTTGTTTGTTTGTTTGCTGTCATAGTATGAAGAGCACCAAATTTGAAGAAATGGATTAACGGCGATGTCGTCGTTGCCTTTTTTTCTCTAAATAAGAAGAAAATAAACTGTAGTTCGCTTCTCGTTGACTTTGTCGTCGCCAAAATCGAATTAGCTAGTCCTCTTATTCCAAAAGATTGAAAGTAAAGACAATCTGGCGTTGGTTTTATCTTTGAAACTTTTGAAATATCGTAATAGTAGGATTTCATCTCCTCCCATGTCGTTGACTTTGACGACAGCGGCGGCGGCGTTGGCGGTGGTGGCAGTGGGTCGTCGGTATTTCTGTCCGTGCGATTGCGTTACGGCGCTCACGGTGGCGGAGGCGGGGGCGGCTGCGCTGCGTCGGAAGTGGCAAACGAACGGAGAGCGGCGATTGGGATCGATGGGAGCTGCTCCACAAAGAGCGAATGCCTGCCGCTGTACAGAGCGGGCTCTTCTTTCCCGCCCGCTAAAACGCGCACGGAGGAATTTGAATTCAACGCGCGTTCGCTCACCTGCCGGACCGAAATAGTAATGCTGAACACACCGCGGTTAAAGAAAGCCATTCCACCTAGTAGTAATACGGAAGAAAGTGGCAGATCGACACGTTGGATAGAATGTATTCTAGTTACAGCTGTCATGTTCGAAAAGCGCTCAGTTTTCGTGGTTTCACTATACTCGCAACCGTAACGAAATTTTAAATGAAAAGCGAAAACATATTCGTTTTTAAGAGTCACTTAGTTTTATTGTTGTATAAATATCACTGCGCAAGTCATGTGACCACAAGTAGCGGTCATTTACGTTTAACTTATAGCTACGTACTTGACCTGTTGAATTGGACCGCGCTAGAGATTACGTGCAAAGTATAGTCATAAACTCTTAGTTTTAAAATATCTCTGATAACACGTTATAGTAAAAAAAAATACTATATATCTCTGTACTCTTTAGGTACAGTTCGTGGTGAATCCTGAATACGATCAAAGAGTAATGCTTTAATGTGTTAGCTTATAATTTTGTCGTGAAACATTTGAAAACAATGTGCAGAAATGTGAATATAGTCGGTTCTTCCTGTTGTATTATCACTTTTTGATTCAAGTACTACGTACCTTGTTTATTTCACATTAATTCTATAAATATCATAATCTTCCTTTTTTTCGTATTATCACCCTCAATATTTATGTGTATAAATACATATTTCTACTCTTGGTTTGCATGTAATAAAATCTAGCTTGCATTTCCGACCACGCGTATTAAAATGTAACAATAATTACAACAATTTTCGTTCCTGTGGAAACTACGAATTTCTCTCGATTGAAATAAATATTTTTACGTCTATGGAAACAAAAATTTCGTTTATCGAAATAGTAAATATGATACTTCTCTTTATACGAGTACATTGTGGATATCGTTGTCACGGCATAGTGAAAAACACGGGGAAAATTCAGTCTCAATATGAAATGTTCAGAATTACGTCGTCATTGTAAACGACATACAAAAAGCACCCTTCGGGAATTGCACATTGAAATAAAATCCATTGGACCTTTGTTATATGTAATTAAACTCGCAGGTGTTGCTGAATGCAAAATTCCCAAGCTGACGAGCAACTTTCCTTTAGTAGCCACGGTTTTGTGAGAGTTACGCTGTACTCAATGAAGTCGGTCATTCAGGTATTAACAGTTCGTTTTTTGAGGGGGTTTGCTTCTTGGGTTCCTGCCTCCGGGTTGCTCCAGAAAAGGATGGTTCGTTCCGGAATGCGACACTAATCGGTTGCCTTCGCTTATTTCGTGACCGTGGTTGGTAGAAAATGATCGATGGTCTCCTGTGTTTCTTCATGTGCAGTACGTGGAAGGAATGCGTTGAATTATATTCAAGCCTTTGATAACGCTGCCGAAACTTGATTCCGCACACATTTGGTTAAAACATAAATTATAATGCATTTATATGCAAGTTGAGTAAATTAAGGGGTAATTTGCTTTTGAATAGGAGAAATCAAATGAGCAAATATGAACCCAAATTATTTTAATAGGCAAATTGCTTTACTTTATCATTTAGATGATGTCAGAATACACCACAGGAACAAAAAAAGTGATGAAATGAATGTCATTGAAATATCTCATGAATAAAACTTTATTTTAAGACAGAAAAGACCGTGTTGTTTACTCTCTATTGAGTGTGTTTGTTTTAAAAAGAAATTTCACATCGCATTTGTACATTGTGGGGCTATTTATGAAGTATATGTATTTGGCTGTCCAGGAGACGCGGCGTCTAGGGCACAGATGCCGACGTTTAGGCAGCCATTCTTCCTCAGGGCGTAATGCAACTAGCATATATTTCTATTTGCTATTCTGTTTTGTATTGTACGTCGGTTATCTTGAAATGCGATGATGACGTAATTCGTGGATTATACCAAACACAAGCGTTCCGTGACTTTATTGTAAGTCGTCGTAAACAAGACTATACATCTCGGGGCTATTTCAGATCAAAGAACATTTGGACAACAACCGTCTCGACATTAACTCGTGTGTGACCCGTCTCGGTGTTTCTTAATTTTTTCAGAAATTTTTATTATAAGCTTCACTATTGTTCTCCATATTATCTCTAGTAAGGACTTTGCGAGGGTTAAATATTAAAGCGAGGCCTTGTATGTTGGTCACCTCTGCTCTAGATGAAACAGACGTGCTTCTCTCCTTCCGAAGCCCATTCGAGTGACGGCGAGGTGTCTTCGCGCGATCGCCCCAGGCGATACGGGTGGAGTGCAGGGGCGGGTCCAGCCGATCATTGGGGGCGGGGGGACCTCGTAATTTGTTGAAAATAATAAGCATATTTGTTATTACATTTTTATTATTTATGTACTGTAGATGTGATATTATACAATATTGTTGTTTAAATAATTACATATTTCGAACATACATTTTTAAATACATTTTGCCATGTAAAGGAAGGCAAAGGAAAACTCTATGCTTTTTGGGGGGGGTGGGGGGTTGCCCCCTCTGGATCCGCCAGTAGTGGAGAGTTCGGTGGTGAGTCGTTCGGGCCGTCGCGAACTCCGGAGGGACGGTTTATTCTTAGACGGCGCCGCTGTTTGTTGCTCGTGTTGCGCAGCGACGCCCCGCGCGGGGTGTCGGCGACGGCTGTTGCGCAGTGACGGGCCGTCCGTAAATTACGTAACGCAAATTTGGAGTATTTTGAATACCCCCTCCCCCCTGTAACGCACCCGTAACGCGCACGTGAACTCCCTGACTAATGACGTAACGCTTACAACAGCACCCTCCCCTGTAAATGTATGAAGTAAAAATAATTTATAGCATAGTAAAAACAATTTGTATTTATTTTATTTTGGTTATGTATTAAAATGTATGATAATTAAAGTCAGAATTAGTTGGCAATGCTGACTGCACCTAACAATAAGATTGGGGGCATGCCTTTTGAGTGAGGGACGCATACACGAGAAAAATTCTGAACACAAGCCGTGTGTTGTGGATGGCGCATGGGTGAGAATCTACTGCGCCAGTTTCATTGGATTCTAAAATAATCACTGATCAGTTTTGAAGATTTTCTTCGTAATCTTACAGATTCAATAAAAAATTGCTAAAATAGTTATTAGAGCAACTTTTAATAACTTTAATGCATGTTTTTAAAACGAATTAATTAGTTAATGTTTTAATGTGAAAGTGAAAGAATAAATGTTGAAATATGTATTAAAAAATTGTTTCGTAACACAAAACAAATACTCCCACTACCCCTGTAACGCAGTGTAACGCTGCCTTAAACTCCCTCCCTCCCCTCCTTAGCGTTCCGTAACTTATGGACGACCCCTGAGAAGAACCGACGCGGCGCGGCAGCGAGGAGGTCGCGCGGTCACGAGGCAGCGGTTAGCAATCGACGAGTGACGGCGGACTAGATCTCCGCGCTGGAACGATGTCGGCACGGTGACGGCGTTTCAAATAAGCGGGCCGCGCCGGAGAAACAAACAGATCGCGTGGCTCTGCGCGGGCGGGGAGAGATATGAGTGGCATTGTGTTCTCGGAGGATTGTTATCGAGCGTAAATATTTTGGCGACGGGAAAAAAAAAACTACGGTTTGTCGCGAAAAGGTGTGAAGTTCTATAGATTGCTGTGGTATAAAATTTCGTTCAGTTTAAAATGTTGCCATCTGAAAATTTTTGTGTCATTTGGATTTTCAAGTACGATCAATTACTTAACTGGTACTGAAGAGTTTTTCACTATTTTAATTGCGATTTATATAGACTCCAGAAAATGACATTCTACATTGTGAACTTGCGGACCTGTTTCGCATATGGTGAAACTAGTATTTAAAATGATTGAAGACGTAAATTAAAAATACCAATATTAAAATATTTCCAATTTTTTTTATTTGTAGTAAAAATTGATTGATATAGTTCCTTAAGAGGCTTAATTAAGTCATTTAAATGCGGTATTAAGAAAACATTACATTATCAAAAATTACCCTTAATATAACAAAAATATTTATATCAGAATTTTCTGGTATTCACATCAATTATCATTGTTTTATCTTTATTTTTGCAGTGATGACGACAGTTCAAGTGATGGCGACTGCGAGAAGAAGCCAGAGAAGAAGCGGGTGAGTAACATGTGCAGGCAGGCGGAATGTTCATTGGGTTGCCCATCCTAATCTCCCCACATGAGATGCTTCATTTCAATTGCAGTATTAATCATCTTGACGCGTAATAATATGATTTGGGTACTCGTAGGTAACGTAGAAATGAATGACAATCCTTCATTTCGTTTATAATTTCACGTTTGAATAAAGTTAAATTTGGAATGGGATCCTCAAACAAAATATTTAATCAGTACTTAAGAAGGTAACATTATACATTTCGTGCAGTTGCTGATAATATGTATGTAGTTTCTATGATCTTATTTTCACTTTTTAACTGAAAATTTATTCTGGCAAGAGATGTGTTCTCTGTGGAATTGCCTCAATTAAAGTTTGAAGAAATTTTTCAGTCCTATTTAGTTCCGTTTGTTTAAAATTATTAAGCTGCATCGCAGCCATCTTGAAATGTTTCATGACTGCAAATTATGGTGCGAATATATCTCTTTCAATTCCTATGAAACTGTTTCCAGTGAACAACCTTTTTTTCACGACTTTCGAATTAATAACTAACATTCTCGAAAACAATCCGACGCCATCTTCTTCACCGGTTTGGAGGTGCAGATCAGTCTCCACAGAACAGGATCCATTTTCGATTCCTCTCTTCCTCACAACGAAGCAACCATTTCTCTCTCCCCTAGACCCTGTGGGTTCTTAACTCATCCCTCGGCAACGCCTCAGAACTTGAGTTGCGGCATCGATGTCGCTGTTTTTAAAACATCGATTTTTAAAGCCGATGTTTTTAACATTGTTGTGTTGTGCTCAATGTTTTAACGTTTTCGATGTCTTATTTGTAAATGAAAAATGCTCATAATCATAAAGTTCTAAAATTTAAAACCGGAAATAACGGATATCATTTAATGTTCAAACCAAATGAACGCTGTTTTTACTACCTTCATTGAGCACTCTCTCACCCGATATGCCCTGGTATTTCCTATGTCTTTCCTCGTGTTTCGCATATAAGAGGCGGTCAACGCATGGACAAAATGCTTCCCCTCCTCTTCCGAGAACTGAAGACTGACACTCAGACGACCCTGGCGGTCAAGCTTTCAGGCACATATTCGTTCATTGTTCTTGTTATTTTTTAAGTTAAGTTTTGAGTTACATCTTAATTATAAATTAATAATCACTGTCACTGTCAAATTAAATTTTGTTGCGCACGAATTTAATGTTTGAGATTACTAAACCAGCTTTGAAACGTAGGTTAAAAACATCGATTGTTTTTGGTCGATGTATTGTTAACATCGCTGTTCGGCAGCATGCATTTGGGGAAATTTTTGTCCGGAGAAGCGTTATAACAGTCGACAGCACTATCAATCTTCTGGGCATGCGTAATTCGAGTTTCTCATCACCTTTTGTGCATCTGCGAGTCGAGATTGCAGAGATATCAGAATATCCAGATTGCAGTCGATTGCTGTACGGTATGCCGTGCAAAAACTCCCTAGAGATAATTAACCGATAAATTAGGAATATCGATGTTTGGTATTCAGAGATCACTCAGGAAGAGGGACCGGGTTGACAGGTTCGCTGCTTAGCTACTGCTGGCAACATAACAGCAGGTTATGTGCAAGCGCTCAGTTCCTCGATGCGTTCGTTTGCATTTCGCTCATTTGCAGTACCTCTTGCGCTGTCAGCGTCCTACATGACGTTCATTTTGTTTTCTGATCTGTCAACCGGGTCCCTTCTCAGAGTAACTTCTCCGTAACACGGATATTCTCTTATGAGAGCCGCATGCGTACTCGGAAGACAGAGTGTTGACTGTCGTCGACTGTCGTCGACTGTCGTCGACTGTCGCTGACTGTCGCGCGTTGTGGCCGCAGGCGCTGCGCCGCTACCTGCAGTGCCCGGCGGCGGTGAGCGTGCGCCACCTGCAGCGGTTCGTGCGCCTCAAGCACGCCCTGGGGCCCGAGCACCGCGTCGACATCATCCACGCGGGCGAGTGCCTGCGCGAGGAGTTCACGCTCATGGACGTCGCCTACACCTTCGCCTGGAAGCAGGTGCGCACCGCGCGCAGAAGCGAACTAATAAGTAGTTGATTAAGAGTACTTGCATGGTAAATTAATAAATAACGAAGGTATGATAAATCAAAAAACTAAGGTAGTAAATAGTAAATAAATACTAAATTAACAAATAAAAATTCATTAATAAATAAAATGGTAAATTAATAGTTTAATACATAAGTTAGTGAGTCTGAGATCGAAAAAGAGGTAAGTGCCAAATTTTATGCACTGCAGAATGTACACAAGGTATATAAAATGATTTTACAGAATGCATCCTTTCAAGACAAAAAAAAAAATAGCTGAGTGGATACGACCCAATAGTAGAAGTCATGTCTGCTACTGGAGCATCTATTGCGTCATGATTTTCTGCCAACAACCTTTGGTCTGAATGCGCTTGAACTTACATTGTCACTTGCCTGCGTTTCGCTCTCAGAGCCTCAATTATTTCATGTAAAGACTGGGGATGAGCTTGTCGTATCACCTCTAGTATTACAAGTAAGCGTCAGTTGGTATGTACTCTTGAAAATAATGAACAAACCCGTTTGAGCAATGATTTGTTTAAATTGCCGATAGTTCAGTTGTGAGCAGAATTGGTTTGAGTGTGTAGAGTGTACACAGAGAAATCCTCACCCAGTGAAGCGTGGAAGCTGTAGTGCAGACGTGTGTTAAAACATAAAAAAGATATATTTCGATTTTATGCTTGCATAAACCGTACTGTTTACTCGCCACCAGTGTCGTTACTCTGTAACTAAAAGAGTCACTATTTTTATCCTGAAATGTTACCGTGGTCAGAAAATGTATTTGTAATCACCAATGCCAAATATCAGATTTTTCTTTTTGAGACGGCAATTACACAGTAGATTTCCCTACTTCCAATAACTTATATAATATGTAATATTTTCTATTATGCTGTAATGACTATATTTCAGCGTAATTGTTATCCTTTTTCGATACGTTTTCTATGCAAGTCCCAGCTTTGAAAGTAAAGCTTATATTCGAATTCATGTTCCGTGAATATAAGATGTAGCCTTTCAGAACTTCCACTTTTCGCTCTACAATCATTGTAATTGATTTTTTGTTGTGTGAAGGGAATTTACCTGTCGCCTCTTTGCAGACGGAGCCCATGCGCTTCAGCTACCGCATTTTCCACCTCCCCGTGGCGGCGCCTCTGGAGCCCATGGACTCGCCCGGGGCGCCCGTCGCGCCCGCCGCGCCCGACGCCTCGGAGC